CACCCTGCCGCTGCTTTGCCACCGTTTCGACCAAAACCCAGCGCACAGTCCCAGGGGAAGCTACCGGTCCCGCATTTTTCAAAGAAACTGCCACCGCCCCCCAAAGTGCCGTGCCTGCACCTGCCTGCATTTTTCGAACCTTCCAACGACCAAACGAGCCCAAATCAACGACCGGTATAACGAAGGACGACGAAAATGTCTCGGGTGGGAAATGTCTCAGGGGGGGGGGAAACGCACCCCTGACGGGCTGCGAACATTTGAAACGAGACCGGGGACCTCACATTTCGACCCGGAGTTATCTCGGCAACATCAGCCCGTTTGGCTTATGGAAAGTTTTTCGGTGTTCAAGCGTCTAACTTAAATTCCCAACTACTGAAGTATGTACTGAATCTGGCCGTGATAGGTCTGGAGGTAGGGGAGAAGGGGTGACAGAGAGCTCCCGTCGTTGCAAGATAGGTAGTAGGACATTAGGCAGAAGTTTGGGACGCAGATAAGCTCAGTAAAGATAGGCGGGGTCTAAGGTGACTCTACTCCATAAGCGAAACTGGTTAAGGCTGCCAGGATAACTTCTGGGTGGAATTGTGAGGTCCCAAACCTCGATCATTTGTGTTTGTTAAGAATTGCTCGTGTTGGTTTAAAAAAAAAAAAAAAAAAAATTGAAGTACTCAATCTAACTGAATATACCTGCTGCAAAAACTAACAACTCAGTCCTTTCCTTTAATAGCCCTCTACCTCTTAACTACTCATAACTAGTCTTGGTACCGTCCGGCCTGATACTCGGCCCAGAGCGGTCGAGAGGAACATTGTCCCTTTTTGCAGTAACCTGGCACTCTCCACCCTACCCATCCCCGTGCGGTCTACTGTGATCGCCCACTGGAACCAAGTGGATGTGGTTCCCCCCCGAGTGTAATCCTAGGGCTAGACGTTCTACCACCTACTCTTCTTCCTATTCGAGCCAAGGCAATATATTTAGCTTCCTATCTGTTATTATAGCTAATCCACCTGGTTCTGGCCAAGTTTCAGCAAACCACAACAGACCTGAGTTCCTGCTCCCTTTTATAACTTTCCTCATCCACTCTGCCCTGATCTCCCTTTCAACATCGTTGTGAACATCTTCTCCGCCTGCTTCTCCTCCAGTCCCTGCCCCAGAAACCTCCTGCCATTCCTGTCCGACCATATTACCCACGTCAGGGCTGCCCTGCAAACCATGCACGAATATGAAATAGCTCACGGAGAAACAAAACATCAAAAAAGTAATTTGCGACCACCTCCGGAGGGGGTCTAAAAAAGGGTCCTCCTGCAGCCCCACCGACTGCTGACAAAAGGGTCACCAAAGAGTACATTTGGGTAGCGGGCCTCTCTAATGTGACCCGAAAACTGCCTCAAATTTTGGGATTTCTGGTCATCATGTCCCCGTGTGAGTATGCCCCAAGTTACATCTCAAACCTTATTTGACCATCTGGATTTCTTGTTTATCTTTGTTTTTGTCACTGTTGCTCAGGGGTTACACTCATTTCTTTTCGCGGCCCTAAGGCCGCGGTATGGCGCCAGACGTGTGTGTCAAAGTGCCCCGATTTTGGGGTGGACGACCACTACAAAATTGCCTACTGTGTGGACGCAGAAATTATGTTTGTTTTATCTTCCTTAGAGTGAGAGAGAGAGAGAGAGAGAGAGAGAGAGAGAGAGAGGGCGTGGGGGGGTCTGATGTGTTCCCTTTCGGGACAGCCTTTGTGTTGCAAACACCGATGCTCGAACTCACCATACAACAGCCTCAGGGTTGTGAATTGTGTTGTCGAGCTCATCGGTGCCGTAGGGGGACCCTCTTGGTTGCGTCACGCAGGATTGTGCAGGACTTGTCACAGAGAGCATTGCCGCTTTGGTCAAGTGTGCAAGCCATACCTCTCCCGAACCCCTATGACAGTATAGGGTCACGCAAGGTACAACTTACCTCCACCCGTGGGAGCTGTGACCATCCCTTAGATGGGTGTATGCGAAAGTTTTTCGTATGCAATCGCAGAGGTGCCCCGACCGAGGGTGTTTCTCGTTCGCTGTACCATAGGAGGAACGCATGGTTAACGCCCGAATCGGACCCGTGTGTGAATCGTCCCCCGATGCGCTGATCTCCCGAACGCAATTTGACATCGATTGACTAGGACGGTAAATCTAACCACGTGGTATACTTCGCAGAATGAACCAAACTTCTTACAAAAATCTCGCTTAGTCTCTTTTTCACTTTCAACCAATAACCTTTCGATAGCAATACATCTGAGGGTCGCGCGAGAGAATATTAGATAAGTAGCACAATAACGTAACTGTATCATATTGATTAGCCATGCATGAATACGCAAGTAGTCGCAATGATGGCGTACTATGTAGTACCCATAATCATAGGGTCCTCAATCGCTTTGAGGATCGCTTTCGACAAGCAAGTGTAAGTTGACACTCGTCATGAGGGGTTAAACTCATAACACTCGACAATCGCGAATGTGGTTGCAAGACCTACGCTCTTCTACACTCTGCGCGGATGAGTGGTAGGCGGGCTTCGGCCCTTAAGGGCGGTCAAACGTCTCTGACCCCGAGAGCAAGGATCCCTCTTTGGAGGCCTCGGACAAGGTAAAAGGGTTTGAGTTTGACAAGCGCCACGGACATCTACGTCCAACCATAAAATTCAACAAGCAAAAAATAAAAAGATTTTTTTTTTCTCTCTCACTCTAGGGTCACTTCGTCATAGCATATGGTCAAGATAAACCGCGCGAATACACATAATATAAATGTAATGGGGGGTTAGGTCTGATGCGATCACTCTCACAATCATAGTGCGACTTCCCTTAAAATATAGAAATGATTGCAGACCATGTCAAATCCTTAATTCAAATTGCAAGCATACTTGCAATCACACTCAGAGTCACATCGACGTACCACACACTACACAAGGTTAACGTCAACCACTCTCTGCACTTACACCCCTTGCCTTTGTCCAACCTTCCAAAAGAAAGACACTCAGTCTCTTTTTAAATTGTCATTCAATAAAAGTCCGGGTAAAACCAAAAAAAAAAATTAACCCACTGGGCCACAGGGGCCAAGGCCTTCGGTTGAGTCGCGAGAATGAGTTAAAGTTGAATCATCAACCGACCTGTTA